CCACAATGCCTTCTCCCAGACGAATCAGAGGTCCACCATCAGCAACAGCAGGAGGTTGAGGCTGGGGCTTGACAGAAGCTGCCTTGTGTTTCTTGTTCTGTATACGTTCTCTGCGCTTGTTGGCTTTCTTGTTGAATTTCTGGCCCTTGAGCTTGCGTCCCTTTACCTTTGAGGGACGTCCATTGAATTTCTGATTTGTATAAGCGCTGGGACTGTTGGACAGATTAATAGAGAGACCTACTCGTGGAGCTTCTGGAGCTTCTTCCTCACTGGACTCTTCCACCATTCTAGTTTGTGTTGTCTCCGCCTTGATACTCTCGTCATTGCTGCTTACATCTTCATTAGAAGGCGTGCTGCTTTCGTCGTCACGACTGGCCGTATCATCATCGTCGGGTGACAGTTGAGGGATACGATCCAATAACTTAGGGAGTAATTGATGGTGATCGACGTTAGACCAGCCCGTTGGCACATCGCCAGAATAGGCTTTGTCTGTGAAGTAGCAAAGGTCGAAAAGGTTTTGCAGTTCAGGTTCAAGGAAGCTATCTGGGTCGATAAACCTGGGCCTGCTCTTGTTGAATCGTTTTAGAATCTGTGGTTGATGGGGGAGAACCTCGCTGGTGTCCTTCATGTGCACATCTACAATGTCATCCTCGCCTTCAACCGAGTTAGCGACAACTTTACTATCGCCAGACGAGTCAGCATCCGAAGCAACCACCTCTCCATCAGCGATATCAGAGTTCTCCTCCGGGCCGTTCCTGAGCTTGGACCAAGTTGAGAAGTTCGAGATCTTCTCCAGGATCTTGCGTCGAATGAGGTCGATGTTGGAAGCTTCTTCTTTGGTGAAGCAGATGAAGCTTGGGGGAGCCACACCATCCCGAGCACGACCATAGTTTGATGGGATACGGTGAAATACGGGAACCACTATCCTTTCATAGCGCGGGTCATCCCAGGGAGCTTCGAGAGGAGTGTCGATATCCAGCATGGAGCGTGGCTTGTTCGCTTTGTGTGGCCAGTTGGTTGGGGCAGCATCCAACTCGTGGAAGGTTGCAAGATCATTTTTCGCGATTTCTTCACTAACATCTAGGTTGTTGTCGTAAATCTTGAAGAAACGATCCTTGTACTCTTCTCCTCCTATCAATCGCTCCACAGGTACACCCGTCCGGGCGGAGAGGAACTGTTTGAGCTGTTCAATAGTGCTGTGCTTGGGCAGTTCGACCTCAAACATGACCGGCACATCGTTGAGGGGCAAGAATTTGATTTTAGCCGTCCAAACGTCCTCGACAGGAATAGGAAGGGTCAGATTGTTGAAAGGATCGAACGTGATGCTGATCTTGCCACACTCAGGACATTTGAGTGTCGATTTATACAAACCTGTGAAGAGGTCGGCAATGACTGAGTCGTCCCGGAGGCGCGTTATGTCCCAGACCTTGTCTGCCATTTCCTTTATAGCTTCCGGATTGTTAATCATGTCGTCGGTGGAGTCAGGCTTCTCGATGTAAGGTTTCTTTTTCACTCGGCTCAGGTCTTCCTGAAGAGCGTCCAAGAGAAATCCAAGGAATTCCTGCGAGTCCTGCTGACCATATCCAGAGAAAGTCGACCGGCAACGGCCGATCGTATTCTTGAAATCTCGAGGAGTCACGGAGCCTCTGCCCTCCGTATATATCTCCTTCAGAAGGTTCCCATAGGTTATTGCAACTTTCCCGTTATATCCCAGGAGGTTAGTCTTATTGACCTCATCAAGATATTCGTTAGTCAAGAAGTACTTGGTCAACTCCTCAACGCTTCGTACGCACTGAAGTGCAGAGTTCATATAACATGTATTTCCTAGGTTCTGCAAACCAACAACGCCGATGCTCCGACCCGACTTCTTTCCCGTTCGGCCACGTGTCGATGGGCCACCGGGAGCGGGACTGCTTCGACCGCTTGCATTAGAAGAGGCCAGACCACTTCTGGTGGGGATGGCCAATCCATTCGGAGGAGTTTTGCCAGTGTAGTTGCTGACCCAGAAGGAGTCAATCGCCTCATCGATAACCAGAGTTTGATCTGTCACGAGATCGAACATGGTCAAGTTCGAACTGCCGTTGAAGTTGGGGTCAGTGGTCCTATCTTCCAGTTTACATTTGATCCTTTGGTCGCGGACTTGAGAAAAGGAAGCATTGTCGAGGAGAAGTTTCGACCATGTGTCTGTAGAGCCAGCCCTGCTGTCTGTCCGACCTGGGGAGTCCGGAGGCGTGAGGGCTCGTGAGAGCTCTGAAGGGCCAGCAACCTGCTGGACTTGAGGTACCATGAATAAGCGAATTTTGCGGTCTAGCGGTACGCCGGTGGCTATCTTAATCTCCTTGACAAATGTCTGTGCATGGTATTTGCGACTTCTGACGAACTTGTAAGGAGTAGGGTTTTTGGCCTTAAGGGACTGCTCGATGGGCAGTGGGCTAATTTCGGACCATAAACGGTGAACAGTAAAAACTGGAGGGTGGAACTCGAACTGAACAACAGGCTCTTCGCCGGGTTCAGCAGTGTTGATAGCAGCACGAATGATGGCTTCTTGACCGTTCTTGATACCGTACCAGTCGACAACCATCCTCCAAGCATCCTCTGGAAAGAGCGTGAATTCATTCTCATTAGTTCCTTGCTTCAAACGAATGTATTCGTTGCCTGTAGGTTCTGTAACGACTTCTTCAATGATATCCGAGTTGTCAACAGGGCCGAGAAGATCCGATGTTGAATCCTCCTCCTTGCTGTCCTTGGGGCCGCCGCGTAATGACAGTGCCTTTTGGACCCAGGTGTTGGAGATGAGATAGGCCTTGTCCCCTTCCTTCACTTGCGCCTCTTGATAGGCTTTTAAGAGAGTCTCTATGATCTTGATCTGTTCTTGGAGTGAAGGAATTGCTAGGAGGCCAGGATTAGCGACGGATTGCGGTGCTTGCAAATTCAAAAACATGGTGAGTCTTACGCTGCGCAGGGAAAGCCTCAGCGGGCGAGCTTGCCGTGGGCTCAGGTGCTTCAACGCTCATATCACGAGGCAGCGATTCAGGGACTAGCTGTGAGGTTCGCTCAATAGACTCGTTGGCTTGTGATGTACCCATGTCGACATCGCGGGTCATATCCGCATCGTTTTCGGGATCCATACTGGAAGCACGTCGTTTCAAAGGCGATGACGAGCGTTGGGGCAGGTCAGCATCGCCACTCATGATAGCTCGGTGGGAGAGGCGTAAGGGAGACTGGCTTCTGGCCAAAGCCAAAGTCGGGGCCGGGCCAGTCTCGTCGCCGCCACGATCACTCTCAATGGAAAGATCAGCGTAGGCAGATGCACAGGGGCTTGAGGCAGCGGACGAAGCGTAATCGGCCGAGACGAAAGAACTTGTCTGATGCTGGAGGCGAGGGGGCAGGCTCGAGGCGGGTTGTGAGTCGGACCTCAGGAACGAGTTCGAGTTGGAGGCCACGGAGGCGGAGAAGGAGAGAGCGGGATCGTCGTCGACTTCGCAAGAGGGTAGGACTGAGTCAGGAGAGGGCGACGATGAATCAACTGAGTCTAGAGATAGATCGCTTCGCAAGAGCTTTCTCTTCTTTGAGGACGACGTCTTGAAGGCGAGCTGCCCGGGCAGCTCGGGGGGTCTAGGTATGAGTAGGAGGGGCGAAGGCGGAGGCGGAAGACAAAGTCTATGTTCCAATCCTTGGAGTCAAACGAGTTTTGAAGGCAAACAAGTAGTCGATGTAGACTGGAAGTATAAGTATAGTTCTGGCAGTGACCAAGGCACGAGTAAGGACAACAGTCTTGCTGCATTTACTCTGAATCAGGACAGGTCCAAACCAATAGAGCCTGGCCGTGTAAGAGTTTGGATAGGTTCTTTTTTTTTCTTTCACAAACGAAGGCGGGGGTTGGAACAGGTTCTATAATTTTTTTTTAATGATGGCATTGGGGCTCTGACCGCTGAGAACGACCTGCAGTAGATGTGGGGCGGCTATTGACTCGAGTTTTACGATTAGTACTAGAGGTACAGGGAGGTATTGAGTAGCTGGGTGTGCCCTGACACTGGAAAGGTCAAGTACATTTAGGCAGCGATAGTCCAATGATGAATCAAGAGGAGATCGGAGCTCATATAGTGGAGGTCAATCAGATTATTATGGCCTGGTTACCTGGGTACGGATCCATTCACATATAATATAGCTACATTCAACTACCTTACTCAGTGAGGTCCCTATATGATGTACATTAGGTACACGTACTAACAAAGCCTGAACTTGGCCGCCGTAGTGGACCACTAAATCGTAAATAACTCCCGCCCATCCTCTGATGATGGGTCGAATCTTCCATACACAGGTTTGCTTCCATGGATCCATCTCTCCCCCACACTCACATTAGAAGTCTGTCCGCTAATCACCTAGGGTTGACCGCTAGGTTTGGCGCCTGTGCTTACAATGGATGTCCTTGGAGTGAATTACCTCGACGTTGAATTAGATCTTTAGTTGTTTCATCCAAGATATCTTACTTATAAGCTGTCTTCTGCCCCTTGACCAAGTGCCAGTCTGGCTACCCGGGAGTCCAGTGATTCGCAAGTTGGGAATGCCATGTTTTAGTTTATACCTGTTACTGTACAAGACAATTCTGAAGCGCAAAAAGCTTCTGGTTCTGCTCTCTTCTAGTCACGAACCTAAGCTTTGTACGCGACCTGTATCAGCTTTCATGGCTGACTGCGAGCGTAAAACGTAATGCAGACAGTCAGTATCATCACCAAGCCACATCTCATTTTTTGTCGGGTCTCAACAAAGGCCTACCCCAGAGCGATCGACCGCTATGATAGTCATGTACAAAACCGACTCGCTAAAACGAGTTTCTAAATACCAGTACAAGCCCCTGATTCCTGCAGTCCAGTCTCTTCTTCCCTCTACCATTTAATGTCAATGTATCCCGTCTCTGTCTAGATGTAGCCCCCCTCCAACTTGTCTTTTCAAGAACATAAAGTCGTCAACCTAGAGAATTTCAAGACCCAACATAACCTCTACAACTTTGCATCCGTATCCTCATACTCATTAATGTCTTTGACGGGTCTGGCCCCTGAACTTGCGGTGAGACCGGCCTTGTAAAGCCTGACATCAGTGATTTCCTCAGCTGTCTTTACGGCATCTCCAGGGGTTGGTTCCTCGTCGGCCTTCTTCTGAGCCTCTTCCTGTCGCTTATCGACCCCTTCAGCCTTGCCTTGAGCCTGAAGATGAATTGACAACCGTGCTCTGTGACTGGAAGCAGGGTTGAGGCGCTGGTTGAAGAACTCGATGACCTCAGGTTTGGTCAGGAGCTTAATCTGTGCGGCATCGCGCTGGGCTACGTAGAAGGTCAGTATGTGTTCACCACGTAAAGCATGCTCTCTGTTAGCTTACCAAGTTCGAAGTCGTAGTATTCGTTCGTGATCTGGTTCCAATGACGAGTGGACTCCTGGTCCAGGTTTCTGAGCTTCTCTAGTCGCCGGACGATCAGACTTCGCTTGTGTCCCTCGAATTCTGTCTCACTCATCTTTTCTAGAGTGTCTGCATATCTCATGAGGAACGCTTCGATACGCGAGTCAAGGAACTCTGGTGTCATTTCACTCTGAATGAGGAAGCGGAAGCCATAAGTCGTCGAGAAAGCTCGAGGTCCGCTGAAAACGATATAGCCGAGCTGCTCCTTAGTCCGGAGTTGATCAAAGGCTGGCTCATGGAGCATTTGGTCTAAAAGGAGAGTCTTGGTCCGAATGTCGCGATCTTCTCTGCTACCAACATAAAACCAAGTCTCGACGCAGTGGTTAACGTTGGCAGGGTCCTTGAGAGTCTTTCTGAAAACGTAGTTGGAACCTTTTGTCAGAATGAGTGACCGCAGGATAGGCCACTGGGCCTTGGGCAAAACCCGTGGTTTCAGGATGGACTCGACCATATCGGTTGCTTTGAGAGCATCCTCCTTGTACATGTTACCATGTACGTACACTTCGATGAAGACCTGGCCAAGCATCTGCTTCTGGAACAGCCGGACACCTTCCAATGTGACACTTGGAAGCTCTGCCGCGAGCTCCTCCACTATAAAGTCCCGTTCGGGGGCATTGAGCCAATTGGTGTAATCAACAACCTGGTGATAGGATGATTGCAATTGCCAGTTGCTGTATCCTCGGACCAAGCGCTCCCTGACGATCTCAAAACGATCTTCCTTAATATCCAGGTCTCGCATTGTCGTGACGACTTGTTCCAGGAGCACGGGAAGCTTATCATTATAGCCGCTAACGTCCAAGAACAGACCGCGCGAATCGAGACTGACGTTGTACTGCAAGCCAGCCAGCTCCGCGTCATACGAGTACTCCTCGAGTGCATCACGGACGAGGTCTGAGAACAGTCGAGCCTTGACGTTGTTTTCTGCCGAAGCGTATATGAGTGGTGTCTTCAAGCTGACAATAACATTGGCTCGAGGAACCCAGAAGGTATCATCCTTCTTCCACCATGTCCTGGCAATGCTATCATTGCGAAGAACCCGGGGGTTCAGTGCCGGCTCGGCCACCTCCTTCTTCTCGACCTCGAGCTTGTTGGGGATAAACTGGTTTTTGTGAGGCAGGTGAAGGGCAGGCAGTCGATCTTTAGGAGAGACTGCAAAGGCTCTCTTGCACTCCTCCATAAGATCTTCGGGAATCTTCTCGTGTCGATATTCAGTTCCGTACCACTTTTCCTTCTGGTCCCAGTTGCCAGGATAATTGCGCGATACAATGACCATGCGGAAGTTATCCGGGCGAATCCTGGCAAGGGCTTTTTCGATCTCATCAGGAGCAAATTCTCGGAGACGGCTATGTCCACTGAGTAACCATTCCCGAGGAAGAGGCTTTTGCATGACCGAGCTGATTCGGCTGGTGAAGCGACTGGCGGGCGTCTTCTGCTTGAACTTGAAATCAACATCAGCCATTCCCTTCTGCTCTTGAAATATCCACTCCTGGGGTGGGCTCTCACGCAGGAGAGTGATGTACTGGAAAAATATCTTGACGATTTCAGGGTAGTTCTTAAGACCTTCTTCCGTCAAGCGAACCTGTACATCGAAGATACCAGGAGTACCAGGGCAAACAGGGTAGGCGCCGGCACTAAGGCCATTTGCCCAGCCCTTGGACTTGATATGTGACATGATACTTCCAGGGCCTTCATGCCCGATGAGATGACTGATATATCGGCTAGGTTGAGTAGCAAACATAAACTCCTCATCGATGAAGGGAAAATACAGGTTCAGCTCTCTCGAGTCCATGACGGGCTTCGCGAAACACTGCATACCGAGATCGGTTTCCCTGAAAGGAAGTTCGCCTGGCCACCTGTTTGGTGGAAGCTTTTTGTTGACGACAGGAGAGAACAACTCGGCAACCCATTTCTGAAGCACGTCAAGCGGTTCTCTACCCAGAACAACCAGCTTCATGCGGTTGGCCGAGTAGTGTCTGGCGTGGAACTCGATAAACTTGTCCCTGACATTAATCCCACGTGCCTCGGGAAGTGTCTTGAGAACCTCAAAATTGCCGGTTGAGAAGTGACAAAACGGGTGGTTAGGGTTGGACAGAGACTTCTCCAGCTGATGAAGTCTCCATGTGTCATTCTGAAGATTCTTTTTATTCTCCGAATCAACAGCTTTCAGTTCTCGGTCCAGGGTCTCGGGTAGAAAGAGCGGTTCGATAAAGAACTGAGCGAATCGATCCAGAGCCTCGCGCAGAGGAGAAGGGTTTGTATCTGAAGGATCCTGGTCATTGTCCGGCTTGGCAGAAATATCGAAAAAATAGTTCGTCGATGTTGGCCCAGTGTAAGCATTTGAGCTTCCTGAATTGGCGGAGAGGTATTGGCCGTATTCGTTCTCAATTGGGAATTTCTTGGTGCCCATGAAAAGAAGCTGTTGGCAATCAGAAATTTAGTCCACTGCCTGTTTGTATGACATCACAAATGTCGAATTAGGGCACTTACATGTTCAACCGCATGGGCCATACCGGGGATATCAGACTCGTCGCTGAAGTTTCCCACATTGACATCTAGAGCAGCGCTGGCCTTATCGGTCTCGGGGTCATGCACCAGGAGAGCCTCGAGCTCATTGCCAAGACGAATGACTCGATAGTCGCGATCATCGAGGGAAGGTTTCTCGAGAGAGTCGGTAACAAGCGTCACCGGTATGGGTGCACCACCCATCGCTGCGGAAGCATCTTCTTCATGCTGAGAGTGAGGCATTGTGTATGTTGCAAATGCAGGCGCAAAACCAAATTTCTACACCGATACTGTCACCGACACCGACACCGACTGTGACACCGACACACACGGCACAAGTTGTATCCGGAAACCGGAGGAAGAAAACGGCCGTGATCTGTGGTAGGGCAGGTCGCCGATCGCAAGGGTTCGTACGAGTTGCGTGCTCAGGCACGAGAGTCGATTGGACAAAGTCGGCGCGTACAGGACGATAGGCGCAAGACAATGGAACGAATGTGATCCAATTGATGTCGTGAACCAAGAAAATAATGCAGTGCGGTAAGTAAGGTAGTATGACAATGGGAGAGCAGATGTGACCTGGAAGTAAGGTACAGAACGGATACCGTCCCGTAGGTAAGGTTCCAATCCTTAGGACTACCTTAGTAGGTACTTACTGTAAGACAGTCCCTGGAGGCTAAGGTACAGGGCCAGGGCAGGGCAGGGCCCGTGTCGCGGGGGAGTAGGTACCTAGGTAGTTAGGTAAGGTACCTACGAACCTACCTACGTGCTGAGGGGCGAGGGATATGATGGATGGATGGATGCCAGCAATGGAATGGATGGCTACAGACAGGGGCTAGATTTGAAAGATGATGATGAAGCAGATGGGGAAGCTAGGTACCTGGACCTATATATGTAGGAAAGGCCACAGACAGTCAGCTACTATGTCATGAAATAGGTATCTGTACCTGTGCTGGTTATATGTACCTAGGCATTAGACATGGGCCTCGGGAGGGCTCTGCAAGGACATGGGGAGGTTACCTTAGCTTACATAGGTAGGTAGTTTCCTCGCTTTCTAACTGACTAGGGTTAGAATATCGCTGGCGCAAACGGGGGATATTCTTGAGCCAGACCAGTCAGACTGTTGAATGGAGTTGAACTTTTGAATTGTGTCCTTCTATGACCGAACCACTTTGAAGATGATGATTGAGCTTGTGGGGTGCGCCACTCGATATTGAGCACGCGCACAGCAGAATAAAGAAGCCAAGCCCAGGGCCTGTGCAGAACCACCCGCTAGCGATCTACAGATGCCTGTGGAGCAGTGTTACAAGTACATAGACTTAGTAGTGGAGGTAAAGACAAAAGATGGGCGAGCCTCTCTGTTGAGATGGCTGTCAAGGTAGGAAGAGAAACAAAAGAGAAGAGGAGGATAATTACCGAGTTTTACCGATTCGGGAATGATGAAAGAGTTTCTCGGCTTGTACGGACCCTATCTCGAAATAGGATCAGTTTTCGAATGTCCAATTCCGAATCCTTTTTGGAACCAGGGGTTTTGGCTGGTCCCTGATATCGAGGACAGACAAAAACAACTTTGTTGGGTGATTGATGGCTTGCTTACCTTAGGTTAGTACATACTGTAGTAGTAGGAGACAAGGATAGTGGATACTGAGACCCAAACCTTGGGTGCCAGATTTGAATACCTAGATGCTGAAGGTAAGGTAAGGCCGGGGAGTTAATGCTGGGTAAGTTAGCCGGTCAAGTCCTTCGAGACTACTATTCGTTTTTGTCCTTGCTAACGTGATGTGTTCAACATGAGGTGGCTAAACAACCAGTCGAGGTTATTAAGCAACAATTCGCCAGCAAAGTGCTGTCTCTCCGTCGCGTATATTATGAGCTTGGCCAGACAACAAAAGCCTCTGCCTGTTAATAACCATCGTGTAATGCTGAGGCGGAGATGTGTGCGTGTATAAAGGAACAAGAGGAGGTGGTAGATAGGTTAGCAGAGTAGGCAAATAAATCCGAGACGATGGTGTCAAACCGGGTTGGATCTTGTTTGTTTCTCCTCCGCAAGTAAGTCGGTACTAGTCATTATCGAGAGAGCTGAACATGGCCGTTACATACATACATACATACATACATACATACATACATACATACATCAACACCAATGATATCAACCTACCTCAGTCTGAATACAAAGGGACCTACCCATATACCTACCTCCCTTAGGTTGTATGTATCTGTGAGGCGTCAAACAGAGCACCACCGTTGCCGCTGGAATTATATATCGTTCCTTGGCTTCCGGATCGTTATGCTGCTTCTTTTGTATTTGACGTGAAGCGGGCAACTCTCATTGGTAAAACATTTGCCTGATTCCAACTTCTATTCAATGTTGTGCCGTCCAGCAGGCAGGTAACTAATGAAGCATGGTGCCAGATGGGCAAAAACCAGGATGAGACTTTGTAATAAATACGGGTTTCCAAATTCTATGTGCACCGGATGAGAAGAGGTCGATTGTACGAGTGAATTGAGGGGAGATTTACACACCTTCTCGGCATCGCGATCACTTCCATATCACCATCCACGGAGTTGTAATCGTAGTGCTACTTATATCGATCGCTGTTCTGCTTAACAACTTACCTAGAATCACAAGAATCGGGGCCTCATCTCAAAGTTGCCAACGCAACAGTGTTATTGGCTATGTGTACGTGATGCTACGGTCGTAATTTGACACTGACACCAACCATCGGCTGGCTAAGATATATAGAGATTTTTTATCATATCCATGTATGCACCATACTAAATAATAGCAATCCACTGATTGTACACTGTAGTAATAGTAATAGTGGCTGCATCTCATTGCAGTCTCATTGCACATGGTAGAAGCTCAATGCATGTTGCCCTGTAACCCTTGTGTCCAACAAGCCTTTAACCACGAAAATCGGCGAATGATTATGCCTTCCTGTCTTTACTAGGATGCACTTTAGTACCCATGAAGCTGCTATCTAACAGTCGTTATTAAAGGGGTTTGCTTAGCAACTGCCATAGTTGCTGTGCGCTATGCAATGCTAGTATCTTGGTTTCCCTACTTCCTTCACTTCTTAAACTTGTTTGCTTGCCCCCATTCCGCCTGGCCCAGGTATGTAATGATGTGGGAATGAGAATATAGGTAGCGTTCTCCTGTATGTACCAAGGAGCGCCAGACTTGGGCCAGAGATAATGCAAAGTGTCAAGTCTGCAGATGACATCAAGTCAAGACATCCCTGTGGATTTTGTATGATTCTAATCTTACATGTAGGCCATTTGGCCCCTCTTAGGACAGTCGACAGCTTTGTGACCAGTCTGGTGGCACTTGTAGCAGGTCATGGCTTTTCCAGCAGGAGAGAACTGGCTCCCGCCTCCTGAGGAAATGCCACCACCGGAGGATATTGACGTTGGCTTGCTGAGCTTCACCTCCTTTTTCTTTCTCTTATCCCGGAATTCTTTGGCCTTGGTACTCTCTGCAGTTGGCCGTGAACGGGAACGGGAGCGTGAACGGCTTGGGCTGTCACTGGATTGCTTCCGCTTTCGTCCATGCGCCGGCGCATTATTGTCATCGTCTGAGTCCTCATCTTCGCTGTCGCTATCGCTGTCGTTGTCTGATGTCTTCTGGGATTCTTGTTTCTGTCACGGCCAGTCAGCGGTCTTGATCCTATCTATCACAGCATGAGGTAGTGATCGACATGCCTGGTTCGCCGTCTTCTTGAAGCTATTTGTCGAAGTACGCCCGTTTCTCGGCACATCCTCATTATCGCCTGAGTCGTTAGATGAATCCATATCACCATACCCAACATACACGACATTGAGAGGTGCTTTGGTCTGATTTGCAGCTTTCAACCCAGCAAATGGGCTGTCAAGGACCCAATGGGTGTCGGCCCCAACATGCTTCTCCAGAGCCTCTTGTCGTTTAGTTTCTTGTGCATCGAGAGCAGCCTTGATTGCAGCCTGGTCAATGTTCAGGTCAAGGCGACCCGCCGCTGGGGAATGTCCAGTCTTTCTTTTCTTGGATGAATGTGTTTCTGAATCCGGAGACGAGTTTTCTGAGGCTACTGCCCGTTGCATAAACTTCATAGTAAGAAGTCTCGAAGAGACTGCTCGTGGTGTTTCGGGCGCCATGATGAATGTTTCGTGTCAATGATTATTATCTTGGAGAAGACGCTTCGTTATAATTCGAGCGGGAAAGGCTCCGGTGGCGCAAACACGTAGAGTGGCTGTACCTACAGGGCAGAAAACGGCCCTGTGTATTAAGTTAACTCATCAAGATCAATTTACAAACTCTTGCAAAAATTCGATTACAAGAGGGCAAAAAAGATCGTGTTTATCGCAAAACGCAATGTTCCCTAAGTAAGGTAAGGTCCTAGGCGCATTACCTCCGTCACGTCTAGAAGAACAAAAATATTTCGGTCGCGGATAAACCAGGGATCCGGAGCTGCAATCATCAAACAGCCAAGTTCAATGCCTCACATCCACGAGAAGATCCTCCAGCGCCGACACTGACGACTCGATTCGCACACCGGGATACCGACGAATTTACAATGGCAACATCTCAATTAAGAGCAATTGGCGTCTTTGCGCGTGGTGCGCGCCTCTCCCAGCGCGCCTTCACCACCTCCGCCCGGCAATTCGAGGCTGCTGTCTCTACCAAAACTAACGAGACTGCCCCCGCCCCGGTCAACGAGAACAAGCCTGTTGTGATCAATCAAGCTCCCAACCGCGTCGGTGTCTGGTCCCGTAGCCAGAGGCCGCGTTCTCAGGCCATGACCGGCCCCCGATTCGAGCAGACCGACTTCGATCTCCAGGTACAACCGAGGCGAGGGAGCTCGGATGGGATATCAAATCACTAACCGTGTTATAGCCTCAACCCAAAGCCGCCATTGAGATGATTCACAAGCAACCCGTTACATGGACGCACGACCGCATTGTTGCCTGCAATGGCGGTGGTGGCCCTGAGGGTCATCCTAGAGTCTTCATCAACACCGACAAGCCCGAGATTGCTGTTTGTGGCTACTGCGGCCTGCCTTTCGTACGGCACACCCCTGGCAATTTGTGCTTTCTTAATACTTATACTATATTTTAGGCCCACGAACACCACCGAACCCATCTCGAATCCCTCCCAGAGACTTCTTACCCTCTATCATAATCAGCATCGAACGATAGGACCGGAAAGGGAGGGTTGCTATCTGGATCACTACCTAGACATGTGCTAGAAGCAAAAATGGTCCGTGTAAAGTGATGTTTCTGAATGGAGGACTCAAACTTCTGTATATACTCCGCGAATACAATGAAAGAACAAACCGAACCGACAGCTTTCCTAGTGCGGTCTTCATGTCTATATGCCCTCATGACACGTTAAAATCACCATCGATTCAGCATGTTATTTAAGAACCAGCACAAATATCTAGTGGAGCGTTGGGATACGGAATCATGCCGCCGACTCACAGTATCGAAACAGATGTGATGCTTGCCATCCCTCGGGCGATAGAGTGACTGTTTAAGGCAACACCCAGGTACGGATAAGGTACCTAGAGGGGATTATAAATGATGCGCTGTGATTGGATAGAGAGGAGCTTGATATAAACGGATAGGTACGGAGTAGAAAGATACCCATAGCGTCTAACTCTGGCCCCACTATGACGGTTGTTTGCTTTCAAGCACGATTCATTCTAATAAGCCATGCCTCAACTTCAAACATCACGTCTCAACTCTGCAACGACACCAGTGCTTCTCTGTCTACTACTTGTGATCTCTCTGTTCCCCGGCTTGTTCCACTATCTCTGGACACTGCCCTTTAGCCTTGTTGGATTATCAGGACCCCCTCAGCCCCGCTTAACTGTCCCTCCAGTGATAGACCATTCGTCGGGAACAACCATGAGCTTTTTTCAGAAGCAATTCACCCTTCCTGCCAAGTCACGGGGTTCATACCTCATAACTGACCAGGTTGTTTCTTCACTTCCCGAGATTCGGGATTACAAGGTCGGCCTTTTGAACCTTTTCGTTCAGCACACGAGCTGTGCTTTGAGCTTGAACGAGAACTGTGAGCTGAATTATTCGGGCCCGGAAAGCTCTTGATGCTGATATGAGAAACCCAAGGGGACTCTGATGTCCGGGAGGATATGAGCGATGCTCTTGACAGAATCGCGCCAGCTGAAGGACCCAAAGGAGAGGCCCTATATCGTCATGAGTGAGTGCTTTGCGTATAAGTCGCAAGCGGAGACGTTGACACCTGATAGTGCCGAGGGCCCAGACGACATGCCTGCTCACATCAAGTCTGCACTCATAGGGGCGAGCGTTACTATTCCCATTAAGGATGGAAAGCTTGTAAGTGCTAGCCAATCTTTGCCCCGGTCATAAGTGACTGACATCGCCTCACATAGGCTACAGGAACTTGGCAGGGAATCTGGTATCTCGAGTTCCGTGCCGCTCGCCACCAGAGACGGGTCGTCGCAACTATCCAGGGGGAAAAGGTTTGAGTGAGATGCACAGAAAAGTGGGACTTAGATGTATAGAAAACAGGAAGAAGAGAGAAGACCTATACTTGAGCTTTTACACATCCTTCCTATACCGACAAACAACCAAAAACGCCGAACACCATCGCCGTGTCTCCGCGGTCCTATAGGGGGATCAGCTTGTTCCATTCTCCTCCTTCATGTCCGTATCATCGCCTGCCAAGACTTTTGTGTATGGAACATAGCCCTCTGGCGCGGCAGACCCTGGTGTGGCAGCGACGACATTGCCATTCTCATCCACGAACTCAAAGTTGTATCGACTGAGAAGATGGGGAATTGCAGAAAGCTGTGGGCCATATCGGGCAGTGTTGTCGTAGAGCTCGAATAGAGGAACGGCCAGAAGCTTCATGTTCTTGGGGACGCTTAGAACCTCTACAGGAAGAATAAGTATCTAGTTTCTCAATGATGATCAGTTGACCTACTTTGTTTGGGCAACTGAATGAAGTAGAGCTTCTTGCACTCTTTCGGCCTCGTCACATGCGCCGGGATAAACGGATACATGAATGTTTCGAAGTTAGGCCTCCACCACTGAGCAAGGCAGTCGCCCACTTGCCAATCACCAGCTTCCTCACCCTCTCCCAAGCGGCCGACAGGCGCCAGTCTCTCGTCCAGCCGCGACTTGAAGCCTCGAATCTCATCGTCTTCGGGACGCAGGTAGTCTCCGGGGAGCTTGAAAAAGGCATTGGCGATTTGCAGCATCAGAATATGTGGGTGGTTGTGCTCGTGGCAGACGAGAATGCCTTCGCAAGTGCGGCGCATCCCATGCTCCGTGTAGTGTTCCTCGAGTCTTTTGAGGCGAGCGATGACTGATGGATCCTCTTCAGGCTGGGTTTCCTTGACCCCAAACGTGTAGTTCGACAGTGGGTAGAGCGTCACCTTTTCGGGTTGGTTACCATTGAAGGACAGGGGAATGACGGGCGGCTGTCCTGACTGAAGCGCATCGGGTGTTATTGTTGACATGGCTGCTATCCAGGCGCTATCAAGGGAGAATTATTATACGGTCAGGTGTATCGAAGTCGCTCAAGGTACTATGCTGTCGTCGAGTCGAATGTAGGTAGTATTGGCTACCAGAATATCTAGCCTGGTCGGTACCCAAGGAATTGCGGAGAGCTCAGGTCTGTCTGTCAGTGCTTGAAGAGCTGCAGGACTATTTACGGCAGAAATATGTCCAAACTTCCTAAATAAGAAGGCGGTGTAGTGTCACCAGGAAGTGTTACAATACCTACACAAGTACCTACCTAAGGTACCTACTAAGGTATAAGATAGTAAGGTACTTAGGTAGGTAAGTTAAGTGTTGCAATAGATGACAACCAATAAATCAGATTGAAAGACTCATAATCCGCTATTCTGGCTTATGCGAAGCAATGAGTGTATAAAATTATTAGAATATTATCCCGACTGAGTTGATACTGCCTACTAACTAAAGTACTCACGTATTAATGCATTGGTAACTGCCCGTGTTTGGTACGAACCTAGCGCAGAAAGGCGGCACGTATTTCCGGCGAGAAGACGTTCCGAATTCGTTGAGACAACCTAATAACTTCCATGTTACATCCATACAAGTGCAATCACCTATTAGGAAAGAAACCGGGCTCAAGAATACAAAATTGATGTAGCCAGTAATGTGAAAGTGTATATGTATGTCGATTCGAAAAGTAAATACCTCTTTTAATGTTTTAGTAAACATCGCATGCTTTAAGATTAAGCAGTCGTCTGACGTGCCTAGGACAATTGGGTTTATAACCAACCCGGAATGCGGCTCGAGTCTACTGTGCGTTGACCTCAGTGCACCACCTACTTTCTCATGTCTTTCCGAACTTTTATCGCTATACTTGCAATGGGCGTCTTGCTATGATCCAAACTGAAGAGTTGTATCGAGGCTACCCAGAGTTATGGCTCTGGGGAATATCGTACTCCGTATCTTCATTGAACCTGCCTTGCCAGGTAATGAGAGCAAGGATTCTTGGAACTAGGTAAGGTAGGTACCTCAGGTAGCCTGAGGGTAGCGCAACTGGCTGAGATTTTTGATGATGACGATGACGCATGCTAAAGGTCCCGAGTTGGATTCGATCGATCTTTTCACATAAGAATTTTCATAATATATAAGTACGTACAAGGAACAGGACAAAACAGATAACTGCAGCTGATAGCTGAAGAGGTACCTGTACTGATTGTTATCAAGGTGCAAGTCACGGATGGGTGTTTGGATAACGGGGTTAACCGGCGGGGGTTCTTTTTCTTTTTCTTTCTAGTTAGCATACCTGCTACCCAATCGAACTGGCTGAATGTTTCCAGGGCCAGCAGGGGAAAGTTGCTCATACAGTACTTGTCTTCAGTCGTGTCTTATCCTTGGATTAAAATGTTATGTAGAAAAGTGATCGGCACATCAAGTGTCCGGAACCGGCCAGTCAGGATAAAGAATTGTTGGTTGGCTGAGCTACTATAACCTTAGATCAGAGCTGACCAAGTCAGAGAAGGCCGTAAAGCATATAACTAACTAGTAGTCAATTGGCGAATTGCAGCAGGACTGGTAGCAGTCAAATCATTCGCTCATCCAATATCGTATCTATATCCATCCATTCGTTTGATTCATCATGCCCTATCCCATATGTTAAAATATTAGAGACTTAGGTACTAAAGTAAGATAAATGCATAATGCCTTGGTACTTATGTACCTGCGGATAGGTACAGATTGATCGAGACCCATTGTAACTATGTCGAGTTTTAGAATGGTCTAGCCAGACTTAGAACCAGAGCCGCTGTTGTTCGCACTATCATCCCCCCAAACCTCGATTTGTCTTTGGTCTGCCCACGGCCTCGTCGCCGTCAAAATAAAAAATCCCCATTCTACCTTAGTAACTAACGTTGATTTACTTATCTCCCGCCCTTACGACTCACAATCCTGCAAAAATCCTTCACGTGCCGTCACTCATAAAAATCCCCTTCTCTGGCAAGGCAAACATCTTTCCCGAGCTTGTTGCGTCATGCGCATACCGAGACATCTCTCTTTGTCTACCTATAGTCTTAGCTCGCCTGGAGGAACCTGTTAAAACTCAAGGCACTACGAGTACTGCAGGTAGGTAGGTATACGAGTAGACTATGGATGAGGCAAGCCTTGTCAATAGCCTCTCTCAGAGGCTCTCAGAGCTCGAGCACAAGGTTCATACCTTTCGCCACGAGGTGGCAGCTGATTTCCTGCGCTACTACCACGATCTGCTCCGAGACACACAACCCGACATCGCTTCCAATGTTGCCCAGTCCATAGCCCAGTCACTACCCAAATACCCAGACCTCAGCTCAGTCCTCACAAGTCTGGATCTGGACCTTAATAAACCTGCAGCTGACTCCCAAACTCTACCACTTGAGTCGGCTCAACGCCACTTTTCCCCGCCGGCCACTGTCGCTACCTCCGGATCGGGAGCCGCAGAGCCTCCAGGCAGCCCCCGCGATCGACATCACGAATTGCTCTTTTACCTTCCCCTGCTAGAGGGCTCTCCTCCAAGACCGCCGCCTACCTCTCCTCCCCTCACAAAGAACAACACTCCTCCTCTCGACATGTTGTTGCCTGACCCGAGCATCCAGGCAGACGAGAAGCAAGACTCAGCCATTGAGACAGGAAGGAAACCCGATAACGGCACTGACCAACTGCAGAATGCCTTGCCGGTAGTACCTCATTCGCCTGGACGGCCAGGCCATGTACGCCGTGCAACCAATGATACTGTCTCGTCGTGCCATTCAGATCGGAGCGAATCGAAAACACCACGGAGCGCCCTACGACGGTCTTCAAGTAGTTCCAAACCTCCACAGAGTCCCAGGCGTGTGCGCTTTGATGTCATGGGAGCAGAGGTCTTACCTACAGCGTCACCACAACCAACCGATTCCATGATTCCCTCCGTGGCCTCTGCCGCATCCGCCGACCAACCTCGCGCTGGATCTATGCTCGACGATGACCTGGACGACCTACCACCGCCCCGAAAGATTTCCTCTTCTGAAGCACTGAGAGCACTATCTAGGGCGCCGTTGGAGGAAGGAGTGTGGACCGAGGTCAATTCAAATCCAGATCAAAGGGCCGGTCAAGAGGACAAGAAATATGCTAGCATTTCTGAATCTCCGTCGGAAGAGCGGGCCAGCCCGATTATCATTGCACCGGAACCGCCATCGCCGCGCCATGTTCCCGAATCTGTTCGGATTGAACGCACGTTGGGGAGCGTGAGCGAGGACCCCGAGGACCAGGATTCATCCGATGACGACTTTCTCTCAATGGCGAATCCTAGATCTTTTACCAATAAGAAAGCGCCTGCATCACCATCTTTGAGCAGAATCCCGGAGGAGAACCAGACCAGTGGCCATGATGCAAGCCCAGCCTCACCTACTAAAGCTCCAAGTTCTGGTACTCACGACGAAGTGAGGGCCGTCAACGAAGACTTGGATGAGGAAGACGAGCTTTTTCACTTTGATGAAGGCGGCGGCTTATCTGCGCCGCCAAAGCCCCGATCGAAACCGAAACCTCTTACGGTCGAGGAGGATATCGAAGTTGAGTTACCGGATGTACCGGAGACCGAGCAATCTTTATACGCAACTTCACCGGCAGTGCACATAACCAAGAGGCCTGGCTCCGGGCCGACGACACCAATCGCGGCACGATTTCAAGCTGGTTCCGTGGGATCATACAAAGGACGGCCAGTAGTTATGCCTGTCGTTCGTAATCCCGAAGTTCATGCTCAAGCTGCCTCGTTGGGGCATTTCAATACGTTTGTTGGGGGTTTAGACGGACGCAGCGGCATGGATGAAGCAGATCTAAGCAGCTTCCGCGCCAGCGTCGCTAATACCGGCGGCTTCTCTGGCACACCGCGTAGTTTCACGGAACGCCTGATGATGGAAGAAGCTCAAAAGGCAAGGGCTGGCGGGTCAAAGTTAAGCTAAGAATACATTGTACCACAAGGACGGGAGATTGGGGATCTTATGCATACGTCAAGGCCTTGGGCCTGGAATCCTGGATAGCTCGTTGTTGGCGTTGAACATATTGCGATGAGGAGTTTACATATTTATACAGATATACACACACAGCAAGTGGGTTGTGGATTAAGGATGATATACGATTAGAAAACGTTATATATACCTCTTCGTTGAGGGAATGGTTGGCCAAGGCATTCGAGAATTTGGGCAGTAAGATCTCATGGGAATACCGTAATATGAATATTTATTGTTTGCTTGTACAGGTAGGGTCCTGGGTAGTTCTGGTATCATGATGCCTCCCTCGAAGGAATACTATCGTGCATTAGTATAGTAGGTACCTGGTAGGCTGACATGGAAAGCTGCCTAGGTACCTTAGGCAAGGTACGGGTACTTACCAATCATCGTGATCTGATTTTTATAGCGGGGTACCTAGTGGTTTCTAATGCTCTACCGGGGGTATGTAGCTAGAAAGCATCATCCCATCATCCAATGCAAGACAAACATTTTGCCTCCGTTCTCAGCATCAACTCAATTGCCTACCTAAGAAGGTGCCAAAGAAGACTACATTCAGAATGGGTGGCCTTAACCTAGAAGTGTTCAAGGTATGCTTATATCGTGTCCCTAGAGCATGGTTTTATAAGTTTCGAAGTGGCCCAGGTCCAAAACGATGACGAGTTACGAACAAGACACTGACATGGCATGCTCACAGTTCGGCACGTATGTCATGTTCCCCATCGGAATCATGTTCTACTTTGGCACCAACCTCGATAACCGCTTTGCCGTACCTGGCTTCTGGCCCAAGCCCGAAGAATGCAACAAGATCCCCAAGGACCGAGACGAGATCAAAGCCGAGTATGACCGCATCGTGGCGCGACAAAAGCTCCGACAGGCCAAAAAGCTTGAAGAGGAACGCAAAAGAGCAGCACAGCAGCCCGAGAATGACCAGTCCGATTCTTGAAGCCCAGCGAATCGGATTCAAGCATGTACATTATTAGCCAGAGGGTTCGGCAAAGGCAGCATTATCGATGTATTCATGGCGTTTGGAAGGCACTGGAAATATTCCCCCTCTGTTGGCATGGGCAAAATAAAGCATCTTACAAAATTGTTACAAACTCGTCGATGTTCTATGTTTTATACATCCAGGTTTCTTTCAACCTTGTCCCACTCTGCGTCCCCTACAGCTCCCTGGCGCACATTGGCATAAATGGCTCTGACCTCAGGATATTCCTTGAGTCCGTTGAAGAGCATGTCGAGAGCATCCGCTTGCTCTGTTGTATCAACGCTGACTTTTGTGTCCTCATTCGGTGCCCAGACAATGTCTGCGTCGAGAATCTCAAGCTCAAACTTCTTGGACAGGGCCTCGGTGATGGCTGCCAACGTGTTTGGCTGGGTCCAAGCCAAGAAGTCACCCTCTGGCAGTTCCTCAACATCTTCCAACCCCTCGTGCTCAATCGCCTCGTCCAGAACATCTGAGAGTGACGGCCCGCACTCCTTGGCTTTGAAAACGGCTCTACCACGTCTTGTAAAGTAGAAGGTTGTTGAACCAACCACTCCGCCGGCCTTCTTCACCACGAGGCGCAGGTCATGAAGGGTCCGAGTCTTGTTGTCTGTCTCAGCATCAATGACCATCGCGATATCAGGGGGCATGAGGACCTCCAGAGACATAGACTCGAGCTGTGCACCTGTGGCTGAACGACCTTGACCTCGTGCAATTGCACCCTCGATTAAGTTCTTTGGTATACTTGCTAACACCAAGAGTCAGACACAACTACAGGCTAAAGACTACGGTGCATATATACCTTTTGTTGCAGCGTTTATTGCAGTGGCCAGTTGAGGGTTGAATTTGACATCATCTCCATACACTATCGAATATTAGAAAAGCTTTTGGGCCATGAACACGCACATATTGAGGCCTACTTCTTGAATACATAGCAATCGTCTTAGTGAAATTAGATCTCTCAGTCATCTTCTTCTTATCAGTTACAGCTTTGATGTGTTTTGTCTTGGACCACTTGTTGTGACCAGCCAATTGAGTAGGTGTCGTCACGAAAGATCGTTGACATTGATGACAGATGGAGTTGGCAATTGGCTTTGGTGCCTTTATGAGCGGGCTCAGGCACTTTCGTGTTGCCATAATGAGCGAGGGGGACACTCGAGTCTTAGCATCTGGCAATAAAGAAATCTTCGGGTTTCGTGACTTCTCGTCTGAGTCTTCACGAGCATGGCCCAGCTCAGGGTGAATCGGCCAAACTCCGGACGCTGAGGATACCCCACACTGGAGCGGCTCAGGTCATGTACGGGCCACTAGTGGTTCCTAGGTTAAGGTAGTAGGCCTGTGGCCAAGGTAACCTGTGTAGGTAACTGCCCATGGAGTCTAGGGGATCTCAAAGTCAGCTACTCACCTCCACTACTTTTGGTATCCATTACTAGTCTTACCTCTTGAAACATTCATAGCAAGAGACCACGGATTCAATTACTCCTGCGACTTCACTACGTATTGTTTGAGCTCTCACTTAGTTGACGGCGTCGATTCCGTGCGTAATGTCGTCAACACAGGAGCCTGAAGCTCCAGCTCCAGCTCCAGCTCCAGCACGGAATCCCGAAGCGCAAGCTCCCTCCGACACCGCGACGACGAACCCAGAGCTCGATCTCCCCAAGCTTCAGTCCCTCCCCGCCGAACAGCAGGATCTTTTCCTGCTCACTTATGTTTCGAGCTTGACGAAGCACGTCCTTGACCTAGCAGCGGATGATTGCACAGCACAGCAATTCTATCTCAAGAAGGAAATATTCCAGATAATCAATCTCTCTTCACCACAGCCTTCTCGAGTCATCCGGAATAATTTGGGGAAGTGCTTAGCACACATCTTCGGAATTGGAGACAGGAAGCTGCTCTTCGAAACGATCAACGACTTGATCGCAATTATATCGAGTGGAAAGTCAAAGTCCGATGCTGAGATACGGACCAAGCATGCGGCTATTGTCTGCCTAGGCGACGTGTTCGCTTCTGCTGGCGATAGCGCCATTGGGCTGCACCCCCTTGCTTGCTCAACCTTACTCAAGCTTCTTAAGTCCTCCTCGAACAATGCTGGAATCCGCGCAGCATGCCTTACCGCCCTTGGAAAGATCGTTAGTATGGTTGAAGCTAGCATGGACGAAGTGATTGCGCGTGATATCTGGAAGCAGGGGCGAAATCATGCTTCGTCCGACAAAGGCCATCTTGTCGTTGCTTCCGCCTGCCGGACTCTCAAAACATTGTTCAGGCACACGCCTTATTTCTTATACTCGAGTGACCTGGACAAACTCGAAGCTGCAATATCCAAAGCATTCGACTGTCCTTCAGTCCAAGTCCGACTGGCTGCGGCAGAGTGCTTTGCCGAGGCCCTGTTCCAGGGTCATTCAGAGGGCGGCCCACCAGAGGTAGCGTCACCAAAGGGGAAAAAGACCAAAAAAGCACTGAAACGCCAGTCAACGATACCTAATATTGCCGACGATGAGCTGGACATTCCCTCTAGATCAGCGAGCCCAGCTCCTTCAGGCAAGCGCAGTCAAGTGCTAGCTCTGTCTCTGACGGATATACTTAAGAACCTGGCATCCCAATATGTAAAATCGACAGCCTCAAACAGAATCCGAGCAGCCATTGGTGTGTGCTATGGCAAGCTTTTCAGGCGCCTAGGAGAAAAGCTTGTTGAGACAAACTATCTCAAAATTGTCGAGAGTCTCGCGATAGATGTGCTGGGTCACTCTGCAATCGCCAACAATCGATATCGTCTTCTGATTTCCAGAAATATAGTCGACATCGTTATACAAGATGTCATTGGGCGCAAGATTTTGGGAGAGTCTGGCCAGATATCCGCCGCAAAATCCCTCATCAACAATATCTTCAAGAACTACCCTCAAGCTCTAGCAGAAAGGCCGGAGCCTTCTAAGCATACTCTGATCGCGACGCTGAGCGCAGTGTCTTCGCTTATCCAATCACTAGGATCTGCGGCAAACACCTTCGCAGAATCATGTCGAGATGGTCTCTTGCAAGTATTGCAACATTCCAGTTATACTGTTCAGGTATTTGCATCTCACTGCATGAAGACGCTTGTCCTTGCCTGCCCCCAACAGCTTCTTCCTTGCCTTTCTGTTTGTATGAACAGCCTGAACCGAGAACTATCCCTCCTTGGATCGGGACGCAATTCTCCCAGAAGATGCATTGGATTTGCCCATGGACTCGCCGCGACTCTGAGTGCAAGCCCTGCTCGTCCACTCTATGGGTCAGTTGAGATCAACAGTCGCGTGTTAACTATTGCGACAAATATGTTGAAATTGAGCAGTCAAGCGCAGCTCAGGGTTGCAAGCACACAGATTCAAGTCGCTTGGGTTCTTATTGGAGGCTTGATGTCCTTGGGGCCAAACTTCGTCAAGATACATCTATCACAGCTCCTTTTGCTTTGGAAGAATGCGCTTCCAAAACCCCTCGCCAAAGATAATACATCAGCCCGAAGTTTCCTAGAGGTGTCGTTCCTGACACATGTTAGAGAATGCGCGATGGGCTCGATTTTAGCTTTCCTCGAATTCAACAGTCGTCTTTTGACTGTGGATGTGTCAAAGAGAATAGCCACCATGCTCCAGAACACCACAGCGTTCCTGAGAACTCTGCCGTCTAAAAAGATCTCTGACGACGTCAGTCAGAGACTAGCCCCTGCTCTACAGCTCCAAGATCTTGAGATGATGGTGCAGCGCAGAGTCTTGCAATGTTACGTCAAGCTTGTCAACCTCAGTCCTGCCGGTGGAAGCGAGGCACTCCTGCAGTCTAATTTGCTGACACTAGCGATTTCACTCTTCGCCGACCCGGAGAACTATGCACCAAACACTTTGAGTGCCTCGATTGCGAATGCAGCTGCTACATTCGAGTCTGTCTGGGATGTGGGCGACAATTCGGGTTTCGGAATCACTGGCCTTGTTGCTGGCCCCCGTGTTAGAAAGCTCCCTGGGCAGCAGGAAAACTCCGATGATGGGAACACAGATGAGCTCGATAGCCCAGAAGACGTGATAAATAACCTCTTGCGCTCGCCAATCTGTGGCAGTTTAGAGCATGATGCATCTGTCCTGTATATTGGCAGTACAGACTCATTTTCAAGCCCTGATCCTCCTGGAACAGAGGTCATCAATGCGGCTATTCAGCTGTTTGCATTCGCCTTTCCACTCACTCCTGGCAAGGTTCAAGAGAGTATACTCGAACAGATTCGGACATTTGCGTCTGCTGGCACTCTGATCAGAGATCCTGGGCGCAAGGCCGCCATCAATGTCAACCTTGCTGCGGCTATTCTCGCTACCATGAGGGTAGCTGTGAAAGAGACGAAATCGCCTTGCGGTGATATTTCGAACCAGGCAGTGGAAGCGTTGCTCCAAGATATCGTTCGCGACTTTGTCCTTGACCCAGATGAACATGTCAGAAGCTTGGGTTACGCTGCTACTGCTCGCTTATGCAACGTGTACGGAAATGGCTTTACGAATAATGAGATCAAGTACCTAGTCGATACCATTGTGAGCAACCGTGAACCTAGTGCGAGAGCGGGCTGTGCCATGGCACTTGGGTCCATCCAAACTCAGGTGGGTGGCATGGCGGCCGGTTACCACCTCAAGACAATCCTCGGCATCTTAATGTCTCTTTGCAATGACCCTCACCCGGTGGTCCATTTCTGGGCACTCGAAGCACTATCACTGGCAGCCGACGCCTCGGGGCTAAGTTTTGCTGGCTATGTTCCCAGCACTTTGGGTATGCTTGTTCAGCTTTACGTTTCAGAGACCCATCATGCCGAGATTTCCTCTGCAATTACAATGAATCTCGAACTCGAACTTTCTACGACATCCGCTATCGCTCGTTGCGTTGACTCCCTCATCAACGTTCTGGGTCCTGACCTGCAGGATGCCACGAAGTCAAGAGAGCTGATATTCACTCTTGTTAACCGT